CGGGGGGAACGGGGACGGCGGGGGAGAGGCCCGGCGGCCGCGGCAGATCGGTAACGGACGGGGAACGGGGGGCTTTCCTCCTCCGACCGCCTTTTTGGGATGCTGGGGGGTGAGGCGGGCGGGGTGTGCAGCGCCGAGCACCGGGACGTGCAGCCCCGAGCCCCGCCGAGCCGGTGTCGAAGGTAGCGGGGGGGGCTTTAGGCAGGAGGGGTTTGGGGGGCAGGAGGGGTTTGGGGGCTGCGTTCGGCTCCAGGGCTGCACATCCCCGCTCAGAGCCGGCTCCCGGCTGGCCCCCGAGCCGTGAACCCCGCTTCCTCGCAGAGCCCCGGTCATCTCGACTCCTGTTGTACAGAGCCGGGGCGTTAATGTTTAACAGCACTCGGGAGTTTTTCCTGCCAGGAATTCCCCTTGGCGCTCTCTGTACCTCTCTGGGGTCGGAGCACCCGCAGCACCTCCTGTTAACGACACGACAGGGGAGGCAAATTTGCTCCTTGTTCGTTTTGAACCCGACTCCCGCTGCTCCCAGCGCCTGCGGTTTGTCTCTGCCATATCCAGGGATATTTCTCAGCTGAGCTGCTGCAAACTCGGAGCGAGCTGGGGCTTCTCTGCCCGTGCCGCTCGGGATGAGCGGAGCGAGGCCTCTCCTCGCTCCGTCGCTCAGCACCAAACCCTCCTGTCGCTGTGCTCAGGTGCGGGTGCCCAGGTGGGTCCGGACTTCGAGCTGCAGCAGCCCCAGGACAAGGTGTCGGTGGCAGCGGGGGAGACGCTCACCCTGACCTGCACCATGTCTGCAGCCGGTCCCCTCGGCCCCGTGAAGTGGCTGAAGGGCTGGGGCAGTGGGAACAAGACCGTTTATGACCAGACGGGCACCTTCCCCCGTGTGACACGGGTAGTGAGTCACTCCAACACAGACTTCAGCATCCGCATCAGGGATGTTCGCCCCGAGGATGCCGGCACCTATTACTGCGTGAAGTTCAACAAAATGGTGAGCGGTGTGGAGATGTTTCGGCATGGAAAGGGCACGGTGGTGTCCCTGCATGGTGAGTGCAGCCCAGCAGGATGCTGGTCTCCAGGGTCCCCATCCCACAGCCCCCATCCTGCCTGCGGCGGGGTCCCAAGCTGCCCACCACCCTCTGCCTGCTCTGCCTTGTATCTCCACAGATAGAGCCCTGGTTCCCAGCATGGTGGCTGCAGCTGTACTGCTCTGCTTCCTCGTCCTCCTTGGCCTCTTTGTCACCCTTTGCATCTACAGGAGGAAGCGCAGAGGCGAGGCAGAGAGCCAGCGCCTGGCCAGGCTGGCAGCCGTGGGCAGCTTCTTGCCCATCCGTCTGCGGTGCTGTGCAGGGACCCCCGGCACCCCCAGGTCCGTACGCACCACCTCTTCCTTCTGCACCCCGAGGTGAGCGAACTGCCTTATCCACCTGCTTTATCCTGGTTTCCTCTCCCTCCGAAGCAGTGGTTATCCCCAGAAAAAGTCCTTTACTCACAGGCGCATCGCTGCGCTCCATCACTTCTCTCTGCATTTCACAGGAGCACGTGGTGGGGAGCACCCACCGCTGGGGAGCTCCCTGCAGCCCTCACCGTGGTGTCTGAGCCCGTCCCAGGCGGGCAGACAGCATGTTGTCCCTCTTCTCTGCCTTCAGCATGGGCGTTGTGTGTGGCCATGTGCCACAAAGCCCACCTAAAATTTGGGAGGGGAATTGAGAGGAGCGCCATGCTCAGTGGAGTGGGGAGGGCACCTGGCTTCCTTTGGCCTCAAGGGGTGTCCCTCCCCCCCCCCCCAGCAACGAAATCATGGATGCAGAGACCTCACATCTGCCCTGCCAGGTAAGAGTGAGCCACGAGTATGGGGAAGAGCATTCCATGCCAATGCCCCGGCTTGCAGGGACTCTGCAAGGCTCCGGGGCCAGGGTGGGCACTGGGGGAGCAGCAGCTGCCTGCACGCGGTCCCAGCACGCTCCGCACCACGGCGGGGCCGTCTGCGCAGCCGTGGCACCACCATCCCGGCTTGAACCTACCGTTCGGGTTATTTTTGCAAGATTTTTCTTGTGATGGCATTCACCATTTGTGTGCACTTCTGCAGCAAAGCAGCAAGGAGGACAATGACATCCACTATGCCGATCTCCAGCCCCTGCCCACAGCCCCGCGGCACAGCAGGACCCCCGGCGCAGCCTGCTCCGAGTACGCCAGCATCAGGGTAGCTGCCAAGTGATGTGTGGCACCGCAGCCTGCAAGGCCAAAGAGCCCATTTCGGGGGAGGAAGCAGGGACATTTCTGCAGGCCACAATAAAGAAGAAGTGGATCTGTTTGCATGGCACGCCCCAGCCCAAGGTCAGCACCCTGTGCTCGGAGCTGGCAAAGCTCCCCTAATTCATTTCCATCTCAGCAGCGGTGCCGGGTTGAGGCTCAGGGCCGCTCAGCCCCCACCGTGCCAGGGCTCAGCAGCAGCTCTCCCAGGACCCAGCAGCCATCTCGAACACGGGATCCAGCCACGAGGCTGAGCACCTCTGCCTTGTGCAAGCTGTTCGGTGCCGATTACACCAAGAGGACTTCACACGTGCCTGTCTCCGCCAGCACGGGCCACCACTGGCACTTTCCTGGCTCAGCAGGTCTGTTATTTGTGTTATCTTGTCACCGTACCGAGCCCATCCTCATTAAAGCCAGCAAACAGCTGTGCCGTCCGGTCCCGCTGTGTTCCGAGCGAGGGTCCTTGGGAGACGCGTGCCCTCTGCAGCCCCGTCCCAGCTCACCCCGTGCTGCTGCCGGGCTCGTGCTGAGCCCCATGGGCAGCTCCCACCTCCCACCGTGCTGCTGGGCAGCTCCCCCGGGCAGGGTGGCTGCCTGGCTCCCACCAAACCTGCATCTTCTGACCACGCACAGGGCAGCTCTCAGGAACAGCTCTCGGTGCCACTTTGCTGCAGTTCATGGGCCAAGGACCGGCCCTTGCCTGGTTTTCCCTGCCCTCCCGAAGGAGCCGGTATTTGGGAACACGGCTCCTGTTGCTGTGTTAAAATCAGGGCAGCTGGCACCAGCCTGCCTGCCCTTCCACCCCTTCTCCCTAACCCGTGCCCATCTCCTGCTCCGGCCCCAGCCAGTCCATGCACATCTGCTCCATGCGCAACCCCTATTCTGTGCAAGTCTCCTGCTCCACACTCATTCCCTGCTCCATGCACATCTCCTCCGCGCACACCCCTGCTCCGTGCACATCTGCTCCGTGCACATCTGCTTTGCGCACATCTGCTCCATGCACGTCTCCTGCTCCGTGCACGCGTGCTCAGTGCCGACCTCCGAGGACAGCAGGCGGCCGGCAGCCGAGGACGGAGTGTGATGGTGGTGGGAAGCCGCAGAGCATATGCTCCACGCCGGCCACAGCTGCAGCACCTGGATGCACCCCGGCACGACGTGCCGGCACCCACCCACCCATGACGGCAGGTGCTCCCACCGCACCGTGTGCCACCACCAGCTAACACCCCCCCCTTCGTGGGCACGGGCTAAGGGCGAAACACGCTTTTCAGGTAGAGTAACCTGCTGTTTCTGCTGCCGCTGCTGCCTGTAACCTTGAAAGCTGCTGCAGTTGTCGGTTTCCAACTTTATCTACTTTTTACTTTGAAATCAAAAAGAGAAGTGAAACAAGACAGCGTGAAATAGCAGCGTGTGTGTACGTACCCAGGGGAGCCTTGCTTGCCAGCAGAGATCCTCTCGGGGAGAGAATTGTTATGGGGGAGAGGAGCCACTACTGAAATTCATTTGCATGAGTGAATAAGCATCTCCTGCTCTGGGGGACGTGCCCTGGGGACAGTTTTGTGTCATTTCTTTCTCAGGGGCGCTCAGCACCCTGCGGGCAAGGCGGTGGGGGGAGTTTGCCAGGGTAGGGGTCCATCACCACCGCCCCCAGCACCCGTCCCCAGCCTGGACCCCTCTGCACCAGCCCCAGCGGCAGCGAGGGGCCGTGGGGTGAGGGTGCCGGGGTGAAACCTCCGGTAGCACCGGGTCCCAAGTGGAGCCATGGCCACACTGGGCAGCGGCTCGTTTCCCAGCTGAGGTGGCGGCTGTTCTGAGCAGGACACGGGTTGCCCAGCTTTTGCGCAGGGAAGACACCGAAGCTTGCAGAAAGCTCACATCAGGATCGCGAGCGGGAGTATGTAAAATATGTGGGTGAGACTGAAACTGGGGATAGACCTCGCAGACAAGGGGAAATTAAATTCAAGGGGATTTAGGGCTTTTTAAGCACTGGGCTGGGTCAGGAGGGGGGAAATCCAATTTGATAAAAGCATATGCAAAGCAGCGAGCGAGCAGAGCACCGTGGAGCGCTCTGTACCTAGGAAAGGGCCCAGGTCTGCAGCTTACTGCCCAGGGGAGGGATTTGGTAGTTATTATAGGAAAATCCTTTAAGCCACCAGCCCAGGGTGTGCCGGCAGTGAAAGCACAAACAAGCACCCGAGCGCAGACACAAGGTAGGAGCGTGCCGGGGAGCACCTCGCTTGGGGGGCTGCGCTTGCTTGGGGGTCAGCACCAGGCGATGCTGGGGTTGGGGATTTACTGCTTGTCTGCTGGGTGTCACGTCCCGCTGAGTCACCCGCTGGGTGCTCGAGTGAGAAAGCTGGGTGCTTGTGCCAGGTCGAGAGCTGCGATGGCTGCGGTGGGCACTGGGCGATGCTCTGGCCGGTACCCACCGGGCTCCTTCTGCCCGCAGCCGGGACTGGGCAAAGGCAGCGTCGCCGCGGTGCGGAGCAGAGGTGGTGGCTGGATAGGTGCTGGGGAGAGGCTCGGCATGCCAGCCGGGGAGGGGACACACCAGCTCCAGCCGGGGTTTGGGCTGTGCCCCAGTGCCGGACTCTTTCCATGGACACCCACATGGTGCCGTGCCGGGGTAAGGGTGCAAGCGGAGCAGATCAGGCCTGGCAAAACGGGTCTGGCAGCGGGCCCCCGCTGTGGCGAGAAGTTCCCGGCGTGTGGGTGGTGGTGCGGGGGGTTTAGCCAGGCTTTTCCTCTGCGTGGTCTGTGAGCCAGGGGAGCGCGGTGCGGGGTCCTGCTCCTGCTTGCCACCAGCCCGGTGCCAGGACCTCGCGGGACAGCAAAGCCGAGCAACAGGGTTGAGGAGGGGCTGAGCTGGGCTGTGCCATGGAGGGGGGTCTGCATGGACCCCCACCCTGGGGAGAAGCAGAAAGCAGGAGCCGGGGAAGGGCCAGGGGATGCTCAGGGGGGTACCCCAGCATCTGCTCCGCTTCCAGTGCTGGGAGGTGGGAAATGGCTCCTGGAGGTGCCGAGGCAAGAGGCCTGGCAGGGTCTTGCCGGGGCAGCAGTGCGTGCCGTGCCGTGCTGGGGAGCCAGCGTGGACTGTGCCAAGAGCCAACGGGGAGCATGAGCTTCTGATGGAAAACATGGAATAACAGAGAGCAATTAGTCCGGAGAGTGCGACTGACTGACGGAGGAGGCTGGCCCCAGCAGCGAGGGGAGGGGGAGTAATGATTTAATTAATGCTGAGGAAGAATATGGTCTCAGCTAGCACATGGGGCTGGCTGAAGCAGGGGGATGTGGGCATCTCCCTGGTGTCCTGGGGGGACAGGAGAGGGCTGGCAGCGCTCGCAGGGGAGCGGGACAAAGCTGAGCTTGTGCTGGAGCCAGGGCTGAGCGAGGAGAAAAGGGGAGAGACAGGGATAAATGCCTCCTGCCCTGCCCCGGGATGCTCCAGCTCCACAGCGAGAAGCAGAGACCCCCCCACACACTGGCAGTGCCTCTCTCAGGGATGGGTGCCCAGGGTCCATCGTGTCTCTCAGGAACCGGCATCGCTCCAGCTTGTCCCCTCCAGTGGCTGATGGGGCAGCAGCTCCAGCCAAGGGCCCGGTTTGTGGCTGTCCAAGATGCCCTTGCGCTCCTGCTCTGTCCCCATCCCTGTCTCCATCCCTGTCCTTGCCACCGTGAGACCGTGGTGGCCACCAGCCCATCCCCAGGGAGAGACAGGCTGGTCTCTTTGCACGTCGCCATTAGCCAAACAGTCATGGGTCCAAGAGCATCCGATGCCACAGGGACCCCACAGGGTCCCCACGATGCCACAGGCACCCGGTGGTGCCATGGGGACCCCACGATGCCATGGGGACCCTGTGATGCCATTGGGGACCAGGTGATGCCATGGGGGTGCTGAGCCAGGACATTGACGGGGAGCCGCATGAGGAGTTGGAGGAAGAGCTGGGGAGCTTTGAGGGGGTTGGAAAGGGTGAGAGGGTCTCAGAGACACTTTGATTGTCCCCAAGAAACACCACGCAGGTCTTGCCTGTGCCCGCTGACTGCCCTGGGCTGCACTCCTGCTGGGAGAGGGAACTGGAGGGAGAAGACCTGGAATGCTGCACAGCCAGACCCTGCTCCCAGCAATTCCAAACCGGCCAGCTCACCCCTTTGCAGCTCCTCGTTTCTCAGGCTTTTCCTTGGAAAGCAAGGAATGGAGCCAAAGTAAAACGGTGACATGCTTTACGCTGTTCCTGATTTATTTCGCATCTTACTTATTGAATCTTATTCCCCAGTTTCACGGTTATTGTGGATTTTTATTAAAGGGGATAAACAGGTCTGGGATTTGGGGTTGTCATAGGAACTGTTTCAGTGCCACAGCCTCACTGCCAGCCTCGTCCTCCCCCTGGGTTCCTGATGTAGTGAGGGCTCTCGCCAGCACAGCAGAGATTTTTCCAGTCCCCCCAAGCACAGCCCCAGTGAAAGCCGCGTTATGGGACAGCTGGCCCATGGTACTGGGGTGCCCTGCAGGACCCCCCGGGGTATTTGGGGAGGAGGTGGGCTCCCGGGCACTGCCCAGCCATGCCCATGCCGCTGCCTTGCCCTGCGGCCACGGGGAAGTGAACCAGGACCCCCGGGGCTGCGGTCCAGGACTTCAAGCTCAGGAGAGGTGGAGGTGCTTGGAGGATGCTGCTTGTCTGTGTGGATTCTCTGGTGTCTAATAGGAGGTTGTGCTATTGCAGCTATTGCTACTGGGAACCTCTCTGCCCAGCCTGGAATTTTCATTACATCCCTGGAGCTGAGGGGCTGTGGGGCAGATGGGGGCTGCCCTCGGGCCATTCTCCATCTCTTCTATCTTCTACCCTGGGGGCAGGCAGTGAAAATGAAAGTGTCAAACATGTTTCAAAGGAAATCCTTTGTGCCCAACACTCCTTTGGCCCATGTGGACCTTCGCTGCAGGATGTCGTGGAGGCCAAGACTCTGGCAATTATTAAAGAGGGATTTCCAGGACCGTGGGACAAACAGGAACATCCAGTGCTTAAGAAAGACTCATTTTGTGCTTTTGGTGTTTGACGGGACATTGCTCAGAGACAATCGCCCTCCTGAGCTGGCTCGGGGAGGGCAGATCCAGCTGCGGCGCTTAGTCCTGCCAGCACCCGAAAGAGGGTCCCAAGGCAGGCAGGAGGGGTGTCCTGCCTGCACTGGGGATGCCCGGGGCTTTCCATGTTGGATCAACTGTCGGTGGCACATTGGAATGGTCTTGGTCCCCCCAACATCCACATGTGCATCGTGCCCGGAGTGAGCCGCTCACGTTCCTGGGGATACTCTGGAGGGTTTTGCCCGGGGAAAAGAGCCAGGGGCTTCTGCTCAGGATGGGGAAACCCTC